AACTGGCTGCGGTCAAAGGCAGGAGGGGCAGGAGGTGAGGAGGAGGAAGGCATGATTTAGGCGGCAGGAGGAGGAGGGCATGATGTAGGCGGCAACTCCTGGGATGGCTTCGGACCGCAGCAAGCTGGACTTCGCCCGAGCAAGGCGCCATGCTGGATTCGGCCCAGGTGTACGCCGGACCAGGCATGATGAAGCCGGGATGGACGGGAGCAGGCCAGATGAGGCGGGCGGTTGACCACAGATATGCCAGCGTCGATGCTGAGGTAAACCTCCCAGGAGCTGCACCCGAAGGGAGGGCACGATGAATCCACGCGGAAGCGGGGCATTTGCCATGACGGGGGCGAGCCACGAGGGCAACGGGTCCCGGGCCCCGGGGGCTCTCCCGAAGGCCAACCACTCATCCTGAGTCGTTTCGCGGACGGCCCCGGAGACCCGGGCAGGGCCCCGGGAACCCGCAGATGGCGGCACACCGCAGAACCCGCCGTTTCCCTCAGGAACCACTCGCCATCGCTCGGACGCCCATTCCCCGTGCATCTGTCGGCTTCGTGCGCGCTTTCTGTGCAAGATGACCCAGAATGCTGCTCGATGGTTCTCGCCATGAAGCGCGCGTGGAAAGGACGACGCCCGCGCGACGCCAAGCCTGTCCCTCGTGGCAAGGACGACGGGTCGAATCGGACTGCGCGTCCGATCGGGCTGCGCCCGCACGGAGCCAGAAGCGAACCGGATCGGCCGCGCCAGGATGCGCAGCGGCGCCATGCGAGCATGAAGGCCGCGCCTGATCGTCGGAGTATCGGAACCGAGCTGGAACGAGCTGGCCAGGATCAAGGGACCCCGGGGGGAGGAGGAGAAGGAGGGGGAGCCTTTCCATGAAAGCACGCAGGAAACAGCCGTGATGGAACAATCACCGAGACCCGCCCAACAGTTGCTACTGCCGTGACTGGCAGCAGCCGTCACAGGAGTGGCGCGGGGAAGCGCAGGACGACCACAGAGGGAGCAAGACGGACGAGGACTGCGAGATCCGGCAATGGCGTCTAGGAGGACGAGGACAGGGAGATCGGGGGAATTAGATGCGATAGGACAGCCCAAAGGAAAACGACTCGTAAGTAAGAACCGCCCATCAGCCGACGATCAGAAGGAACTCGATGGGGACCGCTACGGACTTACCCTTGCCCTCGGAGAAGACGCATATGTGGAAGACTGTGAAAGGAAGGGCAGTCCAATGGACATCGTCGCCCTCCGCCCGAAGCTCCAGAAGAGGAGGAGGAGGAGAAGGAATAGGAAGAGTTCTGGAGTATGGATACAGTGACCAGGTTGGAATAGAACTCTCTCAAATCTATGCTTCTAGGTCAGCTCAGCCTTGCCAGGCCCTCCCTGGTGAGATCCTATCAATCTACTCGCGGCGTCTACCTACAACCACGCTGGGGCAATCCTGGGCTAAAGGGGGAGTAAGAGCAAGAGGGATGAGGACGGCGAGATCGGGCAATGGCGCGGAAGAGGACGAAGACAGCGAGATTCGGAGACGAGGAGGAGTTCTGGACTGGGGTTCCGGACATAGCGACCAGGTCGGACAACAAGCCTGATTTCATGACCAGCTCAGACTCGCTTCAAGCTTCGGGCCAACCCAGCCCCCGACGGGTCCTACCAAAACAATCGCGACGACTACCGACAAGTGGTCTGGGAGCCTCCTGGGCGACATGGCCGCCTCAGGAAACGCTGAACCACAAACGTTCCGGTCTCGTTTCTACCTCTTGCCGCCCTCCGCCGAGCATCCGCCGCCGTTTTACTGCCGCTGATCTCCGCAAGCCTCCTGTCGAACGCGGGGTGCGCCGATGGCGGGAGGGCCCTTTGTTGAGCGGGAACCGACCGTTCAGGCATTCCTATAGGCCTACCACGAAATATTCTTACAACCCAACGACGTTCTAGTAACGAAGACCATTTCCTTAGAACATAAACCCGATGTGTTAAAACAAGGCAGTCCCAGCCAGAAATGCCCTTAGAACATTGCGTGGAAACCACAACAGGTTCTTAGAACATTGTTTGGTAGGCCTATAGGCACGCCAAGACGCTTCGCCACTGCTCGACTTTGGCTGTCGGGACGCCGCCTGGCCACCAGCCGGCCGCTCGGGACGACCCAGCCCCCCCCCCCTGGAATGCTCTCGGCGTGGCGCAGTTGCTTGGAACGCATCCCGAGGCTTGAAAGCCGCCGAGAACCTACGACAACGACGGAACCACCATCACCATCACCATCACCACCACCACCACCACCACCACCATCATTATTCATCATCATCATCATCATCATCATCATCATCATCATCATCATCATCATCATCATCACCATCACCATCATCATCATCATCACCATCATCATCATCACCATCATCATCACCATCATCATCGCCATCATCATCGCCATCATCACCATCATCATCATCATCATCAACACCATCATCATCTTCACGATGATCATTATCACCACCACGATCACCATCACCATCATTCTGATCAGCATCACCATCACTATCTCCATCGCCCTCAGCATCGACATCATCGTCACCATCAACATCGCCATCACATCAATCAACACCATCACCATCACCATCGCCATCAGCATCGTCATCAGCATCATAACGATCATCATCATTCTCTAAATTGTCAGCATCATCGTCACCATCACCATCACCATCGTCATAGTCATCAGAACCAGCATCGTAATTGTCACCATCATCCTACTTGTCAGCATCATCATCATCATCATCATCATCATCATCATCATCGTCGTCGTCGTCGTCGTCGTCATCATCGATATCGTCGCCATCACACTCGTCCTCACCATCATCATCATCGCCATCATCATCACCATCACCATCATACTCATCACCATCATCATCAGCATCATCATCATCATCACCATCATCACCATCATCATCAGCATCATCATCATCATCATAACCATCATCATTAGCCTCAACATCATCACCAATAGCATCAACATCATCATCATAATCATCACTGTCACATCGTAACCATCCGCATCGCCATCATCCGCTTCATTCATCGTCATCATCATCATTAGCCGTATCATCATTAGCATCATCATCGAACTCATCATCTTCATCATAACCATCACCATCAACACCATCACCATCATCAGCAACATCACCATCAGCACCATCATCATCACCGTCAGCACCACCATCGCCATCACCACCAGCACCATCATCACAATCACCAACACCAACATCATCAATAGCAGCAGCGTCGCCACCACCGTCATCATCACCATCACCACCATCGCCATCATCATCATCATCATCATCATCATCATCATCATCATCATCATCATCATCATCATCATCATCACCACGGCCATCATCATCATCAGCATCGTCAGCAGCAGCAGTAGCAGTAGCATCACCAGCACCAGCACCATCACCATCATCATCGTCACCAACATCCTCCCCCTCCTCCTCCTCCTCCTCCTCATCACCATCATCATCAACACCATCATCATCTTCATCGCCGTCGCCGCCATCGCCGTCGTCGCCATCGCCGCCGCCGCCAACCCACGCCGCCGCCGCCGCGGAGGGGGAGGGGGAGGGGGAGGGGGAGGGGGAGGAAGAGGAGGAGGAGGAGGAGTAGGGGGAGGGGGAGGAGAGGGAGGAAGGAGGAGGAGAGAGGAGGAGGAGGAGGAGGAGGAGGAGGAGAGGAGGAGGACATCCAGAGGTAGCTGGAACGCCCCGACGCCCTCGCCCTCGCCCCGCCCCACCTGACGGGCGGAGGCCCTCTCTGGGGAAGGAAGCGCCGCGGCCCGCGGACGGCGCGGGAAGCGCCCGAGCCCCCCCCCCCCCCCCCGGCGCCCGGCTCGGCCGTGGCGTGGGGGGGGGAGGAGGGAGAAGGAGGAGGGGAGGAAGGGAGAGGGGGGGAGGAGGGGAGGAGAGGGAGGGGAGGAGGGAGAGGGGGAGGAAGGCGGGAGGGAGGGGAGGAGGGAGGCGGGAGAGGGAGAGTGGCCGGGAGGGGGGAGGAGGAGGGAGGGAGAGGGAGGTGGGGCGAGGCGAGGCGAGGCGAGCGCCAAAATCCCGCGCCGAGCGCCCGCCCGGAGCCGCCTCCCGAGGACGGGGGCGAGCGCGCGCAGCACAGGTCCGGCCAGTGCGGCGGACCCCTTCCAGGGCGAGGGGTGGGAGGGGGTGGGCGTGGAGGGACTGCTGCTGCTGCTGCTGCTGCTGCTGCTGCTGCTGCTGCTGCTGCTGCTGCTGCTGCTGCTGCTGCTGCTCACGGCTGTGGGACAGTGGAGAACGCTGACCCAGACCCCCTCGCGTTGTGAAACAAACATGACGACGGGAGGCTTTGCGCTATCTTCTGCCTCCAGGGGCCCTCGTTGGGCCTCGGACCGTCAAAAACGACTTTGGATGAAAAACCGGTCCCCCGGAAGGGGTCTAGACCTCTGGGAGGCGACGTTATGGAAGAATCACGAATGGACCCTCCAAGGAGCGAGTTACAGCTACTTGCACATGCACCTACTCGCGTGCAGCACAGCCCGAGAAAGAGGCGCTGGGACCCAGGCGGCACCCCGCCAGCGAGGGGAGGCGTGGATGGGCCATGAGGGGGAGGAGGACATGGAGGGGGGAGGATCTGGAGGTTGGGGGGGGTATGGCGGACGAGGGAGGCTGGAGGAGGAGGAGAAGGAGGAGGAGGAGGACGAGGATGCCGCCGGGGGCCCGTCGGCGTGCTGCTCCTTCGTCGCTGCCCGAGGGCCCGCCTGTGTCTTCAGCAAGCAGCGCGCTGGTGGGTTCCCCAGTGCCTCCTCCTCCTCCTCCTCCTCCTCCTCCTCCTCAACCTCCTCCATCTCCTCCTTGTTCTCCTCCTCCTCCTTGTTCTCCTCCTCCTCCTCCTCCTCCTCCTCCTCCTTCCCCTCCTCCTCCTCCTCCTCCTCCTCCTCCTCCTCCTCCTCCTACTGCGGGGACTGCCCCTCCTTCTCGACAGGCGGATCGGGCGGCGACTCGTCGGTGTCGCAGCAGGTGAACACCACGTCCGGGTCCGACAGGTCGTCGGAGGCAATGGGGTCTCGCGGGGCGGCAGGCAGGGGACCGACCGATGTTCGAACAGCGAGGGAAGTAGATGCTCCTTTGGTGATGGGCCTGTTTTACACCACCACCACCACCACCACCATACGTTGGAGGGGGATCCTCCTCCTCCTCCTCCTCCTCCTCCTCCTCCTCCTCCTCCTCCTCCTCCTCCTCCTCTCCATCCTCCTCCTCTCCTCCTCCTCCTACCTCCTCCTCCTCCCTCCTCCTCCTCCTCCCTCCTCCTCTCCTCCTCCTCCTCCTCCTCTCTCCTCCTCCTCCTCCTCCTCCTCCTCCTCCTCCTCCTCCTCCTCCTCCTCCTCCTCCTCCTCCTCCTCCTCCTCCTCCTCCTCCTCCTCCTCCTCCTCCTCCGCCTCCTCCCCTCCTCCTCCTCCCCTCCTCCTCCTCCTCCTCCTCCTCCTCCTCCTCCTCCTCTCCTCCTCCTCCTCCTCCTCCTCCTCCTCCTCACCTCCTCCTCCTCCTCCTCACTCCTCCTCCCTCCCCTCCTCCCTCCTCCTCCTCCTCCTCCTCCTCCTCCTCCTCCTCCTCCCTCCTCCTCTCCTCCTCCTCCTCCTCCTCCTCCTCCTGCCTCCTCCTCCTCCCTCCTCCCCTCCTCCTCCTCCTCCTCCTCCTCCTCCTCCCTCCTCCTCCTCCTCCTCCTCCTCCTCCTCCTCCTTCCCCTCCTCCTCCTCCTCCTCCTCCTCCTCCTCCTCTCCTCCTCCTCTCCTCCTCCTCCTCCTTCCTCCTCCTCCTCCTCCTCCTCCTCCTCCCCCTCCTCCTCCTCCTCCTCCTCCTCCTCTCCTCCTCCTCCTCCTCCTCCTCCTCCTCTCCTCCTCCACTTATGGTGGTGGTGGTGGTAGACAAAAAGGCCCAACATCCCTGCTCCTCCTCCCCCTCCAACTTATGGTGGTGGTGGTGGTAGACAAAAAGGCCCAACATTTGGGAGACCCTGCTGGTACCCCTGCGTCGATGCTGCGTCGAACGCCCGTCGACCCGAGCCGACCTTTGGTCGAACCGGAGACGAACTGGATTCGAACTCGAGGCGAACTGATCCGCCAGGTGGTCCCCAGGAAGGCCCCCGAAACGAACATCCAAAGGAGAGGGGGTCGATCGAGGTTCGATACTCAGACGTCTGAAATATCGTTCCCAACCCTCTCGCGTTGGGCTCCCGTGTGGGATAAAGCGTTGGGGTCGACACGTTCCTCCTCCCCACCTCCTCTCTTCCCTCCTCCTCTTCTCTCCTGACTCTTACCTGGCTCGCACCTGCCTGTCAGCCTGCTCGCCTTCCTATGTGACCTCGCCATGCCTGGAGGAGGGGATGCAAAGCGAGAAGCTGTCGCCGCTTTCGGGGGCTGCTGTGGGGTCCAGCGGAGTGGCATTTCACAGCAGATTCAGACTAGACCTCGCAATGCCTGTGGGGTATGAGCTGCGAAACTGTCGCCATTCGCCAGGTTCGACGGTTGCTGGAGGGAGTCCAACGAAGTGATGTGTCACCGCATTCTCAAGTCAAACCTCGCCATGCCTGGCGAACTGCGAAACTGTCGCCGCTTTCGAGGGATGCTGGGGGGGGGGTCAACGGAGTAGTAAGTCTGACCGCTGATCCAACTGAGACCCCGCCATCCCTGGGGGGCTGCGAACTGCGACACGGTCGTTACTTTCGAGGGCTGCCAGGGGTCCAGCAGAGTGACGTCTTACTTGAGATTCCGACTAGACCTCGCCATGCCTGTGGGGTGCGGACTGCGATACCGTCGCCACATTCGAGGACTGCTGGGGGACCCAGCAGAGTGGCGTCTAACCTTAATTTCAAAGTAGACCTTTCCATGCCAGGGTGTGTGTGGACTGAGAAACTGTCGCCACTTGCGAAGGTTCTTGGGGGTGAAATTAAGTGACGTCTTACCGCGGATCCAGACTAGACCTCCACATCCCTGGGTGGGCTGTGCATTGCGAAACCGTCGCCACATTCGAAGGTTGCCGGGGGAGGTCAGCCGAATGACGTTTTACCGTGGATTCAGGTTCGACCTCGCCATCTCTGGGGGAGGGGGCAACTGCGAATCGCCACTGTCGGCTGCTGGGGGTGCAGCGGAATGACCCTTTAAACTGAAATCCAAATTCGACCTCGCCATGCTGGGGGGGGGGGATTGCGACAATGTCGCCACTTTTGTCGCCACTTTTGAAGGTTGTTAGGGGGGTCCAGCGGAATAATGTCTTACCGCAGATTCGGATTCGACCTCGTCATCCGGGGGGGCCAGTGGGGCCTGCGAACTGCGAAACTGTCGCCAGTTTCGAAGGGTGCTGGGGGGTTAGCGGAGTGACGTCCGATCGCAGATTCGCTTGAGACCTCGCCATCCCCGGGGGGGGGGCTGCGAAGAGCGAGGGCGCTGTCCTTGTCGAAGGCTGCTGGGGGTCCAGCAGGCTGTCGTCTCAACACAGATTCACACCAGACCTCGCCACCAGCTCTGGCTCCGGCGTGTCATTGCTGTCCGGCCTGCGCACAGTGGCGGTTGCCGACAGTCTCGGAAGGAGGGATCACCCGCCGAGCCACCCAAGAAGCCACGGCAGTATATGCTGCGACGCTGCCTCTTGTGCTCCGAGCTCCAGGTCGCCAGCAGCTCGCCCAGGGCCCCGACGTCGCCGATCGCACGAACTTCGTGCGCGCGCACGCCGAAGAAGGGGAAGATCCCTCGCGAGATCGCGAAGACACGAGACCGCATCCAGACGGAACCCAGCGACAGACGGCTGGGCGAGCAACGGTTGTCTCTCTCGGGCGGGTGCTCTACCGCGCCTAGGCAACCGAGTCGGCCTCGCCCCAGCTGGCCGCCAGCCTGGCCGCGATGATGCTGGTGAGCCTGGTCAACCAAGGCGTCACGGGCGGCATTCGCTGGATGCTACCCTTTCGCATCGGCATGCGCATACTCCTGCTGGAGCACCTGGACCTCATAAGGGTCGCCGAAAACGCCGATGGCGAGGTCGTGCACGTGGCCGCCGCCCGCAGGATGAAGACGAGGTGTGGGTCGAACAACGTCCAGCGTACCTGCGGCACCCGCCGTTCCGCGCGTGGGTCCACATGGACAAATGCAGGGCTGGCCCCCTGCAGCATCGGCGCCTCGGAAGCGGCGGGCCTCGTCGTCATCGAGCTGCAGGCCTCGGACCCGCTCGACTTCCGCAGGCGCGAGGCCGTGCGCACCGGCCTGGTCACCTCCCGCGCCGAAGCCTTCAACTCCCACGGTCTGCCAGGGCGGGACGCCAGGCGCAGGCACGGAGAGGGCCCGGACGGCCCCCGGCTGCATCCCTGCGCGCTGCTGCCCAGGGCCACCACGGAGGCCGAGAGCCGCCTGATGGCACGCGGCCCCGGGCGCGATATGTAAAGGGGCCCCAGGACACACAAATAAATACACACAAATAAAAAGATCCTCCATATTTTCCCATATTTTCTGGTTTCTGTCTTCCACCCCACTTCCCATATTTTCCCATATTTTCCTGGGAGTCGACGATTAATTGTGTCTGTGTGTTTCTTTCCCTCCTGAATATGTCCGTCCCCGCGGGCCGCGGTCCCGGCGGCGCGTCTGCGGACGCGTGGCTCCCGCACCTGCACAGGTGCAGCAGCAGAGAGGCAGAGGGGCGGGCGTGGCGAGCGGGGCCTCGCGCGCCTCCTGCGCGAATTATGAAGGGAGGAGGAGGAGGGGGAGGAGGAGGAGGAGGAGGAGGAGGGAGGAGGGAGGAGGGAGGAGGGAGGAGGGAGGAGGGAGGAGGGAGGAGGGAGGCTGATCATTCGGAACGCCGGAGCGACATGGCTCGGACAACGCTGCTCACATCAGCGAGCCACGCGAGAAAATCGCCACCTTCCTTTCTCGCCCCTCCTCCCTCGTCGTCGTCGCCTCCGTCCCCCTTCCTCCGTTGGTTCTGCTGCTGCTGCCGCGCTGACTTTTCGCCCCCAGCTCCGCCCCTTCTCCTGCATCTCGTTCCCGCCCCCCTTTCTCTTCGAGCCTGGGGCCTCACTCCTCGTCTTTCCATGTATGTGCTCTGAGTCGTGCAGCGCGCGGGCATCCCTTGTAGCTTGCATGACACATTACGTTTCCCGGACGGTCGCTTTCCTTACTAACTTGGGCTAGCTCCTATTCCTACTTGATGCAAATTCAAATTTGTTGGGCACGTCGCAGCAAGGCGTCTTCTCTCTGTCAAGACTTTTCCCTCCACATAGGCCACCGGGGGCCCACTTCGGCTTCGGACCCCCAGGGCCACCACGCCGAATGGCTCAAGAGGCTCGAGGCGGGCCCGGCCGTGTGGAGACGAAGACCCTCGCGGACGCCCCATACGGCAGCCAGAAGCACATTTGGTTGCAGCGGTGGCGCACGCGCACCGCGCCCGAAGTCTAAGCGAACTGTGCACAAGCAGGCGGGACACAGGACAGGACGGCCGCGGAGGAGGAGGAGGAGGAGGAGGAGGGAGAGGGACTGCAGGTTCAGACCATGAAAGGCCTCATGAGCTGTGCAAGGTAGCCAGAAAGTGTCCACGCCTCGGGCCCTAATCCCCAAACTCGCCCATGTTCGACAACACGTTGTGAGTGGTAGTGCGTGACATAAACTGTTCTGCGATCGGAGGAGCCTGTCTCAGGCCGGCTGAAGATTTGTTATGCCGCCACCTGCCACCTTAGGGGCATCGACTTCCCAGCCGCCCTGGGACAGGTGCCTCTGGTGTCGGGAACACTATGTTACACCGTTCTTCGCCTGCTGATGCGGTGAGGAGCTTGTTCTTAACGTGTCGCGGCGGCGGCCCCGGCGACACGCTCTGTCCTGCGAGCGGATAGCGTGTCGCTCCGCGCGGCAGGAGGCTGGGGAGTGCTCGGGACGTTGACGGCATTGGCACCAGCACGTGGTGAGCGTGTCGCGCCGAAGCAAGCGCGGTGGGCCAAAACCGGCGGAGCGACACGCTGAGCCAGAGCTCCCGACCGTAATTCCCCCCCTCCCCGAACCCAGACATCCGATGTCGTGATCTTTTCAATAT